TGTATAAAAAAATATTTAATTAAGTATTAAATAGCATCCAAACATAAAATAATCGTGTATATCATTTAAAGCAATATTATAGAAAAAAAATTAATGAGGGTTACACCATTTTTGCGCTGATGGCCTCAGTTTATGTTCTTAAGCCACGGTGTACTTCAAAATGTACATAATGTGGACAATATTATTCCTATGATCACGTACACGCCCAGTACACATTGTAATGAAAATATTGCATTCAAATCTAACACTCATAGGGTATCTACAAAAATACGTTATTCATACTAAACTCTGGGCATACTTACTTGAGCCTGAAGCATTTAATTATTTAGTTTTTAATTATTTTAGTTTAGTTAATTTCATTTTTTAAATACTCTCCTGTAGTACTAAATATACGTCTTCTTTAGTACAATGGGAGAGCGTCAAGCACGGTCTAGCTGGATTGTAGGAATTTTTCTTAGTGTTCGATCTTTGTCTTAACAAACTCTTGGTGTAATTTCACAAATTATTGAATATCATGGTAGTAAAACACCGTGATACTCAATAATAAACTTAGTATCATATTTAGTACATTTTAAAGTACATTGAGTGTTTAGTGCTTGTATTTGTAATTTGCTGGGTCTTAGGATGTTATAATACCATCTAATTATTAATTAGCTTGTCTTATTCCAGCGTGACCATGGTCGAGTCTTAGAAATTTGACTAGCCAGAAAAAAGTCGCTATTTAGTCGGTTCTGTCGCAAAAAACTAGATTTAGTCGGTCTGCCATTCAAAGGTTATAAGGGTGTCCACACTGGAATAAGCTTATTCCACTGGCAACATTTCTCAATCTCGAGAACCACAACACCTAGCTTAAATCTGATTACACTAAGAGACAGTCGTGATTTAATCGGTTTTAGTCATAAAAACCAGATTTAGTCGTTACGCCGTTTTGAAGTCATTAAGGTGTTTTACTATCCACGCTGAAATAAGCTTATTCCGGCGGCACCATTATTGAATACCGAGAACCACAGCTCCTAGCTTAGATCTGATTGCACCCAGATAAAGTCATGAATAACCCGGAAGCAAGAAGAGAAGTAGCTCTCGCCACTTACTTATTGTAAGTGATACGTGGTAAAATACACAATCCAGGTGTTCTTTACACAGTTAAACTGTGTGTACCTGACGAGTACGTAGGGCGACGTCGGCAGCCGCCGCTGCTGTGGGTGTGTCGCGCGCGCACCAACCTGCTGCACAATGCGCCCATCATGAGAGCGCTGCGTGCACTCAACGCGGTGTCAAACGACATCGATTTGTTCAATTGTTCTCTGAATGAATTCGCACTGGCTGCATATTGTAAAATTTCATATAGTGGTACATATTAAGTGAGTTTGTTTATTGTTGACATGTTTGCAACCAGTTGGGTAATTACACTACGGTATTAGTGTCTCTGAAGTTGCAAAACCACAGATAGGACGGACCGGTGCGATGAGGACGGCTTCACAAAGGTGGTGAAGAGGAAGAGGAAGCCCACCAGTTATAACCAGTGTGGCACAGCACCGACAGGAACGAACTTCCTGCTGCGTCCGGCCATACCTATGACGCTGCTGTACCTGTCACGACTGCATTACTCCACGAAGTCTGAGGAGATAGTGGAGTACATCAGACATAAAGCCAAATACACCCTGAGTGTCGAGCGGTTGGGGTCCCGCTACAACGTAAATTTTAATTCGTTTGTGGTGAGAGTGCCTACCGAACATCTATCGACCTTCATGAAGGAAGAGGTTTGGCCGAAGGGTGTCATGTATCGGCGATTCCGCAGCCGCTTACTTGACACCAGGGGGGCTACTTTCGATCTCCGTCTGACATCCGTCTGAAACAAATACTGTCAAATAAGTAATATTCGACAAAATTAAAAGACAAGTATCCAGTATGAAGTTTCTTTCGCATCACGCGTCTTTTCATTTGGTCAAGTATTGCTTATTTGGCAGCAATTGTTTCGGACGGATGTCGGACGGAGATCGAGAGTAGACCCCCAGATTGCGCCACAAGTCGCCGACAAGTGCAATTCGTGTAGATTAGTTATAAATAGTGTTATATTGTGTGTATGTTATTCCTTAAGGTATATATTGTATGAGTGTTTTATTGTATTATTATGTGTGTTAGTCTGCAAGGTATGTATTTATGGGTCTTTGTAACCTGAATACAAATAAATAAATTAAAAAACATATTAGGAAATGCATCTGTAATGGTAGCTGTAAGAGTTTAGTAATCATAATTTGTTGCTTTAGTATCGCATCAGGTTAAACCTGTCATGATAGTTTAAGTGTTTTTAAAAATAAATAATTGTAATATTTTGTGACTAGAACCGACTAAATCACGACTTTTTTTAGTGTAATCAGATCTAAGTTAGGTTTTGTGGTTCTCGAGATTGAGAAATGTATTCCAGGGTAGACAGTAAAACACCCTTATAACTTTTGAAAGGCGGACCGACTGAATCTAGTTTTTTTGCGACTAGAACCGACTAAATAGCGACTTTTTTCTGGCTAGTCAAACTTCAAAAACTACCATGGTGACGCTCGAATAAGGCACGCTATATCTTTAATAGGTAATGATGTCTTTTTTAGTAAATATCGTACTCATAACTAATATTTAAAAAAAACGCTAAATGAACATCCGTCTTTTGTTTCCTTGTTAAAGTCGTTTTGTGTCTTCATTACGATCACTATATGTTGCATCTTTTTATTATATTATGTACGGATGTCATGAATTTAGTGTGTTGCAATAAAAATATGGCTGAAAGTGGAATACTGAAACAAAGTAAAATGCTGCATGTCGTTAGCTGCTAGTAGTAGAAGATAATGTTACCACGCCACACGGCTTCGTTAAAGTCGGATTTTGAATGAATTCCACAAAACTGACAATCACTTTTTTTTTTAGTTAATATTGCCATGTTAATTGTAAAGTCTGTCCAATCCATTTTCAACAAAAAATAAACAAAACTGGTTAAAATTATAAAGCAATCACTCAATATATCAAATAAGTAATACTTTCACGTATATTTCAGAGATTTCGACTTCATATCTCAACACTTTTCCAACAATACTTATTTTAATAGCATCGTAAAATTGTATTTGAAAAATGGTAGTCCATAATTGAGGTTATTTTTCATCTACACATCTATGACTTGTCTATGATGGCATAGTGCTGTATGAAAAAAATATTCAGTTCATTCAATTAAAGTTTTTGTATCGATTAGTAAATCGAGTATTTCAATCGCAATCGAACGAGTATTTAAGTGTAAGGATTTGAAGGAGGACTTAAAATTAAGATTTCGGAAATTTTAAATATGCTTGTATAGGATATTTAGGGAAAACCGCTAGTATGACTCAATTGAACAAATCAAATCATTCAATTAATTAATCGATTTGTGGTTGGCGTTACAATTGACCATCACTAAATCGTGACTTGTTGTGTACATTTAGTTGAAAATGGACTGAAACGAAGTATAGATTTCTATGGTTTACAATCACTGTTGATTGTAAATTGAACACAGTAAAAAATAAATGTTATAAATGGTGATGGCCAATGGTTGAGTCGTAGCAGTCGGTTATACAACTTATAAAATATTTTTATTTAAACAAAAGCTGGCAACACAGTAAATGTCAGTTTTGGGCAGCTAATTAAAAATTCGATTGTTGGTAAGCATTTGATGATGTTATTTTTTTCTCTTACGTCTATGACGCGCGCACCGGTTTGTTTCATGGCATGTAATTCCCCGAATCTAACGTGAAACCGTGTGACGTATAAGAGATTAATTTTGAAGATGAAATCCCTTCGAACTTATTTGTAATTTCTCCGCCTCTGTGGCTGAACGGATACCACGCTAGTCTGACACGCAGAGTTCCCGGGTCCGATTCCCGGACGGGGATAAATATTTGTATGGCCTACATCTATTTTTCTCGTGAATTTGGGTGTGATTTGTGGGTGTCTATGTGTGTGTCAATGGCACCCGCGACACAGGCTTTCCCTAGAGCGGGGCTATAGTGTGTAAAAAAACGATATGTAAACTGCAAGATGGAGAGACGATTCTCTCTCTCCTTTTTCTTCTCTCTTATTTATAATTTCGATGAAAATTCAATTTATACGCTATAATTTTAGACATTCGGGGATTTAGACATTCGCGTAGTTGCATGGTCGGAGCATTAGACAATCGCGTAGTTGGACATTCGGGGAATTAGGGGGAACAATAATCATGCAAAACAAAAACAGCAGAAAGAATATAAAAAAAGGAAGGAGTTTGCGACATCCAGCTCCTCGTGAATCATTGCACCAACTGTTTCTGCTGGCCAAGGTCAGGCAATGACCTTAAGTGAGTAGCTTCACCAATTTTTTCAAGGATCGGTGCAACGTACCTCCTGCTGTGACAACGTTGACCACCCTGATCACTCCGTCTTTCCCCGGATACAACTTGTCTGTACGACCTCGTAATCATGTGCATGGACATTCAGGGAATTAGACATTCGTGTAGTTGAACATTCGGGGTATTAGACATTCGTGGAGCTGGACATTTTTGGAATTCGATGTCATGAACCAGACCGGCGGGCGCGCGGGGATGTGTTGGAGAAACAAGCATTCGTACGAAAACATTTTCATGAGTAATTTTTTATCACAGCTAATTTACTGTACAAATAAAAGATTATATTTAGTGTTAAGCTAAAACAATTCATGTTCTATGAATAATGTTTGAACAATGATCGGGTTATCTATTTATTTTGTAAATTACTTTAAAACATAACACTAAACTACGACTATTACAAAGCAATAAATATTACGTTAAAAATATATTTTTACTCTATAAGCTAATGTTGCGATATTGAATTTATTTATGAGAATAATAAAGTTGAAATTGTATTTTGTAATTCATCGTTTTATTTCAATACAAAAGTTCGTTTGTTTATACTTCATGTTTTATAAGTAACAATAGGGACTAAAGTATGAAATTGCCATAAAGATCTAGGCTAAATGAAATTTTTGTAATACAAAATTCAGATTAAAAACTTTTTCAAATATACCTAATACTAAAATGGCTTCGAAATTTAAAATTTTAATATTATTCATTTGTGTTTGCTTTGGTTAATTGTAATAAATCTGTATGATTGTCATGAAAAATGAATAATTTAAAGTCACAGAACAATAAATACAGTAGACGTGGTTAGCGTCTGACGTGTGCCAACATCAGGTCTGTCAAATATAGTGTATGATTTATGGACTTACTTGAGCTCAGTCCGCCAATTTCGCTTTGTATTGTATGGGTATGGTTGTCATTCTTTCGGGCAAATTCTCTAAAACCGTAGAAAAATGCCTTATTGTACTGTTTTGGGGTGCAAAAATCTTACCCGTAGTAGTACCTATTTCGTATCACCGGCAAGTGTCATATTAATAAATGTTCAATTTCTGTTTATTGAATTGACTCGGATGTTAATCGTTCGTCGTAGTCTAGCTACTGGCCGCAAGATGGCAGCACGTTGAATAAAACAATATAAAATCAAAACTTCAAATGAATAAGCAACAGAGTGTTCTGACTACACATTAACAGAGTATGTACAATATGATTATGACAATTACTGAGGTTACCATAAGGTAACCTCAGTAATTGTCATAATTACTCGGCTTAGTGCAAGAAGTCCATAAAGGTAAAAAATCACTAAGTACAGTTAATACACAGACGAGCTCTTTTCTATCTATTCTATGAAATGCAAAACTCCCGAAACTCTTGTAATTCGATATTGAAAGCTATGGCTACGTCGTTAAGTCTTTAATTTGATTTTTGGGTTTTTTGATTTCATTAAAATAGTTTACATTAACAGTTTTTAGAAAAGATAAATTTCCAACAATGTCTGAAATCTGTTGTTCCTAAACTCGGTTATGTAACTTAATAACTTTTTTAAATATATTTACGTCGATAATTTTGTTGTAGATTTGGAATAAAATTCTTTAAGTGCACATAATTAATTTTATTCAACTAAGGTGCACGGTACAAAAGTCATTCCACGCGTTTAATAATTTTGAGCAAAACAAGTGACCATCACCTCTTTAGTTTTGTTTTGCTTAAATTCACGCTAAATTATTGGGCATTTCATGAGTTTTGAAAATTACTATTCGTTCACCAACGAAACATTACAAGTTTAATAAAATTTATTATTGCATCTTAACATTTTTTGCTTCATGGTAGGTAATCTAGAAATTTTCGTGTTTTTGTATACTTAAGTGCAATAAATTATCATTTTTTAATATTCATATTCTTTCAAAACATTTGTAATGAATTCTTTTTACGTACCCGATTACGGTTCCTATGCAATACACTTGGGCGCGCAGTGCACAG